TCATAATTTTTCATTTTGTTCATTTTTTTGTAATTATGAAAGGTTGATTAAATATTTTTATTGTGGAGGGTGTTAATCATGGATATTATCATCTTCATTATTTTAATTTTAGAAAAATACATGAAACAGTTTCATTAAAATTTCATTAAGTAGTATATGAAACAATTTCATAACCACATATGAAACAACTTCATCAAAAAAAGTATTATATGAAACAATTTCACAAGATTAACAATTTCATGAAAAAAATTCACAAGATTAACAATTTCATGAAAAAATTTCATAAGATTAACGATGGATGATAATAGTTTTTACGGTTTTTACAAATTGATGTGGTTTTCATTTGATCGCTCCTATATATATATATATATATATATATATATAAACATACTGTGTTCTAAAAAAAGATAAAAAGGTTATTTAACAGTTGGGTTATATCTGGAATAAGCCCCTTATTCAGTGTTTGTAGTTGTGGGGGCCAAAAAGCCAACAAGACCATGAGTGAATTGGGTGAAACCTATACGCAAAAAAGGATTCCAATTGGCAACCAATCAACTACCTTCCAATTCCATTATTATAACCCACTCCACAACCACACAAAATACCTTTCCAACTATTTTCCTTAATTATTTTTTTTATCATTTTAAATAAATTAAATTACCTAAAATTACCAGTTTATCCATGATACATTAATAAAATGACCATCAAAATCATCCTTAGCGGACGATTTTAGCTCAAGGAGGGCGAATGTACATACTAGGGTACGGAATGAGTCCCACGTTCATATCATTTGGGAGACAAAATATGATTTTTAATAAATCCCATGCAAATCGCCCCCGGGGCGATTTTGAAGTCTAGTTTATTTTTTGGTGAAAACAACTGAGGTTTTTGAACAGATCAATGATTTTGATCATGATAGTCTTTTGATTCAAGATTTAAACTAGTCTCTGATACAATCGTCAGACCAGTCTCCGAAACGGTCAACATTATGGAAGGTAAATAAGTTATATTTTAAAAAAGGTCTGAATGATTAATCCAAATGTCCAATAACTTTTTTTTACACAAATTTCTCCCCAAAATGCCCTTTAGAAAAGCAATAAAATGTGAAGAAAGCGTAAAAGGCAAGAAAAATGCTTGGCTGACTGGACATATGCTGGCCAAAAGAATTTATACGTATTAGCTTTTCCATTATTTTATTATTTTGATATTTCCCTTTTAGGTATTTAAATTATAAAGTAATTAAAAAAATAATTTAATTAAAATTCAAGTTATTATTAAAAAAACTAGAGAGGTACTCACACAATATAATGAGATACATCTTGATTTTAATGTTTCACTTTGTTTTGTCTCCGTCGATGTTATAAATACGATTTTATGTGGTACTGAAAAAACGATAATATTTTTTTTTTGAATAAAATATAAATTTGAATGTATCAAGAATTTTGAAAAAAATGTATCGATTTTAGTAATAAGTTAATATTTAAAAGTTCATGTTTTTTTGTGTAATTTCTGCAATTCAAATTTTTATTTGTAATTTAATTTAGATTTAATAATGAAGTCAATTAATTTTGGTTTAATAATATAATTTTTTATAAAGATAGTAGATTAGTATTTAGTTATAATTCAATAATTATCCTAAATATGTTTTATATTTTTATATTTAAAATGAGATACTTGTCCAATATTTGATTATGTTTATCTGCAGTTAGTTATAGGAATTCAAACATGAAAATTTAATAAGTTATACATACACATAGTTTACTTGTAATATTGAATTTTAAGTAATATACATCAATAAACAGTACTTAATACATAAAAATAATTTTTAATATTTTTTGTCGAATGCTTTATAATATACCTGAATAGGACTTGCGCAATGCAACAAGATACATTTTGATTTTAATGTTCCATTAGAAATATCTATGTTGATATAATATGTTTTTATGTGGTTTTGAGAAAACAACAATTTATATTTTGTATAAAGTATAAAAATTGAAGATATCATAAAATTTTGAAAAGAAAACATCGATATTATTATCAAATTAAATATCTAAAAGTTTTTTTTTTTGTGTAACATTTTTAATTATAATTTAATTTAAGTTTAATAACAAAGTAATTTATTTTTATTGTTTATAAAGATAATGATTAAGTACTCTGTTAGACTTAATGATTATCTTAATTATATTTCAAATTTTTTATGTATAAAAATGAGATATTTATCATGTATCTGATTATGTTTATATGCAGTTTGTTATACGAATTCAAACATAAAACTTTAATAAGTTGTACTTACACATAATTTATTTATAATCTTATATTTTAAGTAATATGCATTAATAAACAGTACATTCATATATAAAAAATAGTTTTTAAGAGTTTTTTGTCAAGTGTTTTATAATATAATATATATATACATTAATAAACAGTATTTCATGCATAAAAAATAGTTTTTAAGAATTTTTATTAAATATTTTATAATATAATATAGATTATAAATAACATTTAAAAATAAATGTTTTAAGTTTCATTTAATGGGTGCACGACAAGTGGCTCGCAGAAGGACCGCACAATCACATGCAAACCTTCTTTAGAGTCACAGCTGGTTTGACTCCATCGGTTTTTAGGTAAGGGACACGTGACGCCTTTTGCTTCCTCTACAAGTTTACGGCTTCATCTCAATTACCACTATGTCCTTTAGCTATTTATTTACGATTTAATTAGATTTATTGGTCTATTTAGTTTATTTACATAACTCATTTGGGTTATTTAATTATGGCTTATTCGCATTGAAAATGGCTTAATCACACAAATAGAAATGATGTTTTGTCTTCATTCAGCCATAAAAATGACACATTTACCTCTTATTTAAAGCACCACATTCTTTCCATATGAGATACTCCATCGTCAGCCTCTTTATGATTTTTTATTTTGATGTTCAAATAATTAATATTGGAGGGGGGGGTAAATCGGTCATTTATGTTATTCAAAATGTTGGTTCAGATAAAAAAAAAGTAAACAACAACACTCATTTAACCAGACAGAAAAATTTATCCGGACAGACAAATCTATCCATACATGACTTAATAAAAAATTTGGTAAACAGCCTCTAAGTTGTCTGTAAGGATTTAACTGTTTGTATAGATTAGGTTAAATTGTTGTTTGATTGTTATGTTGAATAACTAATTTGAATAATAAAAATGACTATTTTACCCCTAATACTAAATAAACCTAAAAATCAATATTCCGTATAAAAATATGATCTTCCATCATAAATAGGGTTGTAAACGAAACGAACGAACATGAACAAAGGTTTGTTCATGTTCGTTAGTTTAATTTAACCGAACAAATTTTTGTGTTCATGTTCGTTCGTTTAGAAATCAGGTGTGTTCGTGTTCATTTATGTTTGTTCGTTAACATGTTAAACGAACGAACATAAATAAACGGGCTAAATGAACATAAATAGATAAGGCTAAATGAAAATAAACAAACATAAATGAACATAAACGAACGAACACCACTACTTATCATTCAATTAACTATTACACACCAATTATCTAGAGGCTAGGGTTTTGGGGGGAAAGTGAAAAGATAAAATTTTCAAATAAGACATAATGATGATAAAATTTAAATCTAAATAAATTCTAAAAAATTAAAATTTAAATAAATATTATTTGAATTCAAACTAACTAAATAAAAAGATTATCTATTAAATTTAATACATAAACGAATATAAAAGAACGTTCACGAATATAAATGAACGAACGAGACTCTTGTTCATGTTCGTTTGTTTAACTAAACAAACAATTTTTTTTGTTCATATTCGTTCATTTATTTAATAAACGAACTTCCGTCGAACAGTTTACAAACGGTTTGTTGTATGTTCGGTTCGTTTACAGCCCTAATCATGGTGAAATAAGACTGCTATAAAAACAAGTGTGTGCCAAAAAATGCTTAAGAATATGATCTTCCATCATAAATGCTTAAATATCGAATAGAAAACCTGGAGACTTTTTTCATTGTCTCGATTGCCAGATTTCAAATACAAAATGCAACGAATTGAAAAAAAAAAAAAGAAACCTTTATAAAGGTGTATTCCACAAACAAGAGGAAGAAAAGAAACATCAATGAGCAGGGATGAGCCGGGGCTTGTTGAATAGGGGATGAACATCGATGAGTTTGGTGGTGCGAGAGGACAGACCATCCATGGAAGGTGTATTTCGAGATAAGGGTAACAAGGGTCTTTTTCAGAGCTGAATGTAGACGAGAGAGGGTAGGAGGAAGCTAAGCAAATAAGCTGTTATTTGAGTGATTAAGCCACAACCAAACAAAACACTTTAATATGGCTTATTAAGCCATAGAGGCCATCAAGCCCATTAAGCCATTACCAAATGTATGTCCGTTTTTTTTTTAAAGGTGTCACAGGCTATTTCTAGACTAATCCCGATAAATTATAACCGCAAAAAATCAAACTTGATAAACTCAGCGATCACTATTATTATCTACACTTGGAAATAGTCCAAACTCTAAAGTGCCAGCTGTACAAAATTGACATTTATTTTCAATTATTAAAAAACAAACGACTAAAAACTCGACGGTTAATTTCCCGCTGTTTTCTGGTAACCGCGCCGTCCTCCCGTAAACGGAAAACCGTAGAGCTATGGGGCTATTATTGTCATTTCGTGTGTGTGAAGATTGTTACAACCCACTCCGTCCGTATATTCGGCCTGAGCCAATCTCATGTGTCATACACGTACCGTATTACCGGTATCCCACTATCTCATAAACTCATCTCGGCCGTTGATCATGCAGAAAAAAATGGTCTTCTTCTATTGACATGGTCCCACTTTTGAAACTATTGGACAAAAATATTGAATTGTACAGCTCACCAGATTTCACTCCCCCTCTATAGCTGCTCCCTTCCTTTATCCCCACTATACATAAACCTATAGATACAGATATATATATGTATATATTCCTTCTATCTCTCTCTGTGTGTGTATATATTCTCTCTATATATTTATGTATATATAGATATATAGATGCCATATTCTCTCAAATTTCTAAATCAACCGCTTTTCATCTTCTTTCGATTCTGATTGATTGATTGACTGACTGAATGGTCTTGTTGCTGCTTGCAAAGCTTGATTCTGGACCGCTGCATTGGTGGTCGTTTGATTCGCGTTCAAAGAAGGTTTCATCGAAGTCATTGATGATCACGGCTTGAAGATACGAATTTAGAATTGGAGGAATATAAGAGGAATAGATATGTTTGACGCATTATTGAAAAGCAAGTTCTACTCCAGATGGTATGGAATTATGCAATGGAATTTGATTTTGTTTTTTATGATTTTTGTTGTTGAATTTTGTTTTTCATATGATTGTTCTTTGTGATATTAGCAAGTCAGGAATCAAACTGACGAACAAGCGAATCGAGATAATAATGAGAAAGAGGAAGGCAATGCAGAAGTTTTTGAAGAACGATATTGCTGATCTTCTTAGGAACGGTCTCGATTCAAATGCTTATGGCAGGGTAAATCTTCCTTCATTTTCCTTATTCTTTTCTTGATCTTTTGATGTTCTTGTATAAATATTGATTAAAGGCTATAACTATTAACATGTGATCCTCAATATCTGTGTAATCATGAGGCCTGACTTTCGATTAATATCACGTCAGAAGGATCTTTGGCTGTTCTTTATATGGGATTAACTTGCATTTTGTTTAGATACTTGATTGCGTGAAACCAGCTCGGAATTCCTAACAAACATTTATATTAGGTTTGATTGCGTTGCTATATCTAATAAGCATATAATTTAGGGTCGATAGGTAAGAGCAGCTGGGAAATGTAGGTGAACCATACTTGACAATAATTATGGTTCCTTTCTATCATTTGTAATAAAATATGCATTTGTGGGTCCAACATTTGAATTTACTGTACTGGTTTTGTTTTCGTAATGGATGATCAATGCTTATTTCAGTTATTTGGTATGATGAATTTGAAATGTGAAACTAAAACATAGAATTAAAGTTGCAGCTAGATTAGGCAGGTTACTAATTACAGAAGGTCCATCTACAAGTTGGATAGATAGTCATTGATACCTAATTGCCTTGTAGAGAGATGGGATTGATATATTTGGAAAAGTTTTCCTGCATAAGGACAGGTTGAAATAAGAAAGCTAAATATCGTGAAAAAGTAAGAAATGACAAAGGTTTATATGTGAAAAAACTCGAAAAAGAATCTATTTGGAGATGCATATAAGAACCAACATTATAGATTATATATACATATAGGCTCACATATGCATCTTCAAATGGATTTTTTCAATGATTCACGTATGAACCTCCCACTCCCAAAATAATCTCAAAGATTTATATTCCAATAAAATAATTGCAAGCATTCAAGCTTTTAAGTTCAAAGTCATGAAGCTGTGACAAATTCTTTACTGAATTCCCTGTTTTACCTCCTAATTACAAAGAAGGACCCCCTAATCACAAGGATATACTCGCTTAAGATACAAGGCAAATTCAAGAAAATGATTAGTTTAAGACAATAAAATCTTGATAATGGTAATAACTTGTTACCTATCATGTGATGAAAACAGGTTGAAGGGCTATATCTTGAGCAGAATTTGTCATCATGTTACGAATTTGTCGAACAATCATGCTTGCTCATTTTAAGTCATCTCTCAGCAATGAATAAACAGAGGTAGAATATTTACTTCTTTACACTTTCATAACTATATTTAACAGGTTCATGTGAAATTTGAAATTTAAAGCGATTTTTGTCTCCTGTAGGGAATGCCCTGAGGAATGCAAGGAAGCTATTCCATCTGTGATTTTTGCTGCTGCAAGATTTGCTGATTTGCCTGAATTGAGGGAAGTCAGAAGTTTATTTAATGAGAGATACGGGAATTATCTTGAACCTTATGTCAACAAAGAGGTGCTTGCCTTCTTAAAGCATGGTTTTTATATTAAAGATATATCTTCTACTTTTAATTAAGTTCTAAAAACTAAAAGGGAAACAATCATGTGATTAGTTTGTCAAGAAGTTGAAAGCAGACCCTCCCACTAAGGAAATGAAGCTTCAAATGATTCAAGAGGTTGCACTTGAATCTGGTATACAGTGGGATTCCAAGGCTTTGGAACAGTCATTGTATAAACCACCTCCATTTGTACAAGTAAGCCATTTTCTCTCCCTTCAACTACTACCCTTTATCATCATTATAGCCAAGTTATTCTCTTAATGTCTATATATCTTTTTGCAGGATTGGTCTCAATATGCCAACGAAAGAAACCATGAAGCACTTAAAACTCACCATCAAAATGGTTTTGAAACCAGAATTCAAGAAAAAGAAGAGAAACACAGCAACAAGCAAACTGAAGTTGCAAAGAAGGGCCATAATGCTTTGCCATACAAGTCAAGGGCTGAAATTGAAAAGAAAGAGGAGAAAAAACATGGCCATGGAAGTGTTTCATCTAATTGGTCTAGCAACACTAGTTCTTCTAGTGAGAGTACAACTAGTCCAGAATATAGTGCTTCTGAAGATTTACCTGAAGAAAGAAAGTCTTACCCATTAAGATCAATGGCTCCTCCTTCCATCAAAACAGATTCAACCAAAAAGGACATCTCTTCTGGTTTTGGCAGGGAAGAAGAGGTATCTGGATCAAAATGTAAAGATGGTAATCTTCAAAATGGTTCAGAGGATATACAAAAAAGCAGAAAGCTGTATGGATTCAGATCAATGGCTCCTCCTCCTTACATCAAAACAGATTCAACCAAAAAGGCAACGGTTTCGGATCTCTATTCCGGATATGGTAGGGAAGAAGAGGTATTTGGATCAAAATGTAAAGATGGTAATCTTCAAAGTGGTTCCGAGGATATACAAGAGAGAAGAAAGCCGTCTGGATTCAGATCAATGGCTCCTCCATACATCAAAACAGATTTAAGCAAAAAGGCTACAATTTCCAGTACTTCTTTTGGTCCCGGCAAAGAAAAGGTAGCTGGATCTAAATGTGAAGAGTCTGTAAATATAACCAAGCCGGTACCAAGATCAGTGCGGATTCGAAGAGCCTTAAAGCAAGTGACCAATGAAGTTTCAGAACCATGTCCAAAAATTTCGAATGGTGAATACCGTGATCTTGATCATGGAGATGAAGCTGAAAAGAAAATGGACAAGCTTTTGAGTCACTACAGCAGAAAGGCTTCGAAATTACCGGCTGATTCAAGCATGGTGAACAATGCTCATGGTCCAATACGAGCAGGTTCACTTCCGCATGAACCAGTAAGTGCAACAAATGAACGAAAAGGGATTGCAAGGGCAGCTACGTTTCAACCGGATTCAGGTTTAAGTCCACTGGSTCATGTACATCCAAAACTTCCTGATTATGATGACTTTGTAGCGCGATTAGCAGCTTTTAGAGCAAGTTCTTAGATGTAATAAGCTTATATTTAGAATTCAGCACCTTGCTGTTAGTATTTTGAGGGGTATGTAGATTTTAATTGTGTGTTACTAATGAAGGATTTGAAATTCATTGGTGAAGACAGGAGTTATTGCCAAAAGCCCAAAACAATGTACCTGGATTACTGTTGTATGTTAATTGTTACTTTAAACAAACCTGGTGCACAATCATTTGTATATAGCTTAATACTGTTTTCTTGGTTTTCTATTAAGCCTTTTATGGATAAAGTTGTCTATTTGGATTAATCTCTTTGTATAGATTGATAAAGTTTTTGTTTAGAAGAGTTTTTCATAGATGAAAGTAGTGTGATTTTTAGTTCAAAAAACTTGGCTTTCTGGATCAATACCCTCCTTAAAGCTTACCGAATAAGCTGCTTTCTATGTCAATAAACCATTACCAAACTCTTATGTATGGCTAACTCATTAAGCTGTTAGTCTCATTTATCTCCTTTTAAGTTACTAACAAATGGCCGTTTAGTTTGATATAAAGATTGAGAATACAAACATCTTTCAAAAAAGTTCGATCAATAATTAATGTAAGTAAAATATTAACAATATTCTTAGAACTCACTTCCAAACAATTATATATATATATATAGAGAGAGAGGGGTTATTACACAACCTTTTACATTTGTACAACCAATACAACTCAATATCAACCGTCCATTTAATTTGATGAATATGTAATTTCATAAAAGTTTTGTTTTCTAATATAAAGTATTGATCATAATTAATGAACTTTATTCATCTTTCATAAATATTTAAATCATAATAAGTGAACTCTCATCATTTCCATAAATATTTCAATTTATTGGGTTGCATTGGTTGTACAAATGTAATGAGTTGTATTTGAACAATCTCTCTCTCTCTATATATATCTATATCTATATCTATATTATCTTATTAAGCAAATTTACCAAAAGTTTTAAAGTCATAAAATATTAAATGACCAAAATACCCTTTATACTATTTTTTCACTTTTTCACTTTTTCACCCCATACTCTCCTCACATACACTCACTCTCTTACAACCGATTTTTTTTAAAATTATAATTTTAAATTTACACTTTATACCCCTATAATTAATTAATTAATTTAATTTACGTCCTTTACTTTTAAATGTTTCATTTTAAACATTTATCAAATTAACATACATAATCGTATATCAATTAAAACATGTTTAAAAAATACATTTTTATTTTAATGTTACACCATTATAATCGTCTCGTTAATACTTTCGAAATGAGTCCAATATTGAATAGTTTTTGACTTAATTATATTATTATATATTATATATACTGTGAAAAAATATTTTTAATATTTACGATTTATACTTTTATAGTTATTTATTTTTTTGGGGCTAGGCTGTTCAAATTGCACTGTATAATATGTTTTGAATTAATATATTCTTGGGTTTTTTTGAAATATATATATACATGTATTAATTCAACCTTAATCTGAGTTTCTGGACAAGAAAAAGAGTAAGCAGTTGAAATTTCATTCTAAAACCCATCTTTTTTTGTCTTTTCATTATTTATGATCTGTCAAATTTGTAGTTTTCTTTATTGGTTTTGAGTGTTTATCTTAAAACTCAAATTTCTTGGTTCTTTGCTCTTGGTGTAAATCGAATATATTTGTGGAGTCGTTTAAATATGTTGGATTTTAAATATATTGGATTTTAAACTGTCATACAATTTTTTTCATCGATAGTCTGTAATTGGAA